TTAATTTTGGAGCTTTTCTTACCATATGTGGTCAGCTAGTAAATAGCATCCTGGTTTTATGTGCTGTTTGTTTAAAGCAAATGCTGTGTTTAATTCCTGAAAAGTGCAAATTATCACCATTCATTAAACTTCACAGCATTTCCCTGAAGTAAATTAATTTCTTGATTGATAGTTTATTGCAGAGTGTTTTATTTCTGTTGATCTGAGGCACAGAAGTTCGGTGGTATTTGTTGCTCCAAATTGAGCTTGTAAAGTGAACTCCATTTGTCATAGGAGCATCAAGATAATCTTGAGGGAAGCTCCTCCTGAAGAAAAATGTTCTTTAATGTAAAATTCAGAAAAGTAACCATCTAATCCACGAGATCACAATAATAATGTTTAAAGGGAAATTGTAGCAATTTATGCCAAAAAGTTGCGTAATAATTATTAAATACATGAATAATGTTAGTGGCTAATTTAAAAGTCTCAATCTTTAGAAGTGTTTGATGTAATAACAGTATGAAAAGACCACACAATAAACCTGCAAATGTGAGTGCCCACCTTTCCCTACTGATCCACCACAACACAGAAAAAAAATATATTTTTGCCAATTTCTTTTCCTGTGTCACAGCATCCTAATTATCTAACACTTACATGATTCTGGCTAATATTTGCCTCATTAGAAACAGTGTTGGAAAAGGACCGGGGCTGTGAGTCCAGCAGAGGGGCAGGCTGCTGAAGCAGAGCCTGCTGGAGTAATAGTAAAAGGAAAAGGGATCGGTAGCTCCCTTCCACATCCTTCACATTTTAGAAAGCTACTGTCCCCTTCCAGCCTCTTACCTGAACTCCCCCCACCCATTATTCCACATTATACCGGCCCCTTCTTTCTTCCCCACCTTATAGAGTCTACCCTGTTGCTGCCATCAAATTCAGTTTCACCTTTAATGTGGAAAAGGCTTATATATAGGCTTTGGGGATTATTTTTTTCCTGTGGCAATGAGGTAGGTGCTCCACGAGAGCATCTGCATTTCAAAAATATAGCTGTGCAACTTGTGGCAGTTGGTCTTTTTTGCAGTCACTTGAGTATGAGGGCCATAGCATTGTTAAATGATTTATGGTGTTCTTTATCATCGTGGGGTGAGAGAAAGAAGGAAAGGAAACTGGTCTGTGAAAGCAAAACTGATAAATGAGAGACTATCAGGTGGTGAGATATTTCATGGGTTTAAACTTTCTACAAGATGCTGTAGTTTCCTTGAGAACTAACACATTTGGGTTTTAACCACTGGCCCAAGTGTGTTTAGTCTTGGTGATGATCAAGACAAACCGCAACAAGAGAAATTCAGAGCAGATACTGGTAGTCATGGTGGAATGGTCAAATGTTGGAACAAGGGCCCAGGCAAGCTGTGAAAACCCCATGCTTGGAGATGTTCACAGCTCAGCTGGGTATAGGACCAAGTGCAACCTGGCTTAAATTTGATGTTGGACCTGACTTTGAAGTTGGCCTTGCTTTGAGCAAGGCGTTGGACCAGATGATATCCAGAGGTGCCTTCCACCATAAAGTGTTTAAAAAGTCTAAGATAATTTTGATAAAAAATAACAGTTATACATATATATACGCACACCTCATATCTCGTATTATATGCATTATATATCTCATATTATCTCATTTACTCAGGTGAATGTTTCTGTCTATTCTGTGTAAGCTAGAGCTTTTCATGGCAGTTTTAAATAGAGAGCTGTAGTGGATGGGTTTTGGGAAGAGACTTTATATTCCAAATAACAAAATAAACTGATTTCTGTTTTAAAAATATAGCACCAATATGGATTCGGAGAGCAACTTCAAACACTAGCCTGATGTAAAAAAACCCAACAACCACTTACACAGGCACACACCATTTTTAAGGCAACTACTAATTTTTCTTCCTTCTCTCCCTCTTTAAGCTGCAAGCTCTATAGAACAGAATTTTTCTGCAGGCATTAAAAGCAAAACCAGGGTGTCCATAGGATGTGGTGAACAAGCAAATGCCAGAGGTAGTTAAGATAAAAATAGAGCAAACTGAGGAAGCACTGTTGTTCTATGAGCTAAGGAGAAAGTGGATAAAAGAATACTTTAAAAAAAAAAGGAGTTGGGGAGAAAATGAGCTGGTTTGTATGTCAACATTGTCATTCAGGTCTGCATATAAGTAAATAACTCTTATGTTCTTCATCCCACGCTCTCAGCTGCATCTCCCTGCTCTAATCAATGTCTTTTAAAAAGATTTTTACAGAAATTATTGTTGTCCATTTAACCCAGCTGACCATCCAATATTTTAACATGGAGAGCCCTGAAAGACTTCAAACTAGAAATGAGTGGTGCGACCGAGATGCTGCTTTGTGCATTGCAGGAATTGCTTCTATCAGTCCTGTTGCCTTATAAAAAAAGGATTTAGCAAACAAATACTCCTATTCCCTTATGAACAGAAGAAATGAGTAATAGATTGTTTCCATGCTTGGAGATTCTAGGTCTACCTCTGTATGGATTTTTTTCTGCCTGAGAAGCTTTATCTCACTTCCTTCCAGGGTCACACACATCACCACTGCTTTCAAAGGCTTTCTTTTCATACACATACTTGACCTCCTACCATGTCTCTGTTTTCAGCTGGATCAGATTGTGTGAGTCTTCTGTTTTGGGTGGTAGTTCTGTTGTTTCTAGCTGATGTAATTCATAAAGAAGGTGTGGAGTTGCTCCTTCTATTCAGCTGGAAGGAGTCCTTAGTCCTTCTGCTGGACATAACCAACTATGGAATTTATGCCCCATGTAAAATACTGCCTTGGTGACAGCCATTAAATTCTTCCAGCATAACTGTTTTCTCTTTCTCACTTCCTTTTCTTTATATGCAAATAATAAAAATATATATCCCAAAGCAAGTTTTATTTAAAACTGTGCTAGAGTCCCGAATGTGACTCAATCTACAAATAGAAAACTTTTTCCATATAGCTTTTTAGTCTGCTGTCTCTGATAAAACATCTCAGTATTGCCACATCTTGTAAAATTCTGTCTGTAATTGCATAGTTTTCGTCAGGACTAGCTGATTGCTGCTTTAATTTTCACTTGCCTCCAGATATCCATGAAATACAGAGCTGGTTAGTGCAGTCAGTCTGTGGCAGCTTGCATTTCTTCTTAGGAGATGCCTCTGGGAGGTGGGCTGCGGGAGTAGCCGAGGTGATAAAGCCAGTGGCAGCTTGCAGCATGACTTTTTGGGGTTTTTTTGATAGTAAAGGAAGCCTGCTCATATTTCCACAAAGAATTCAAACTTCCTTACTTTTGTATCACTTTGTTCCTTATAATTCATGGAAGGGAAGCATTTTACCTGCATTGAAAACCAACCAGCAGAGGTTGCCATTGATTTTTTTTCTGTTACCTCTTTCTTACCTGCTTTAGCAGCAGCCGGATTTCTTGTGAGAGACCTGAAACGTTTGGCTGCTACAAGGGCTTGTTATCAGAGTTTGGTGTTCTGAGCACAGAGTAATAGGCACTGCAGTTTTGAACATCAGCTGGATCTGACCTGTGAGCAAGGTGACTCGGTGGCGGCTGTAACATTTGGAAGCTTTAGCAGATACCTATATTCCAATCTTATATCGAACAGGATGCACTGAGCATCTCGTTCCTGTGGTCCACTTAGTCTTAGCTTTGCCTTTGCTTGTCTAACATGCCCTTCTGTCTTGGAGACGTTCTAATGTACATTTTAAGATGTTTTGGCCCTTTGTGTCTCCCACAACGAACTGGCCCGGGGAGGGGAGGGAGAAGTACTGCTTGCTGCCATGCCTGTGACACCGTTGTTTGTTCTTCTCCTCCTCCTCCCCCATAGGAGGAGTGGGAAGAGGAGGAATAAAAATTGCTTCCTATTGTTCCGCCCGTGGTATGGAGAGCTCTGGCTTAAAGCTGTAATCTGTTGTTGCAGACACTTACAGTTCTGAGATATTGGAGTGATTTTAATATTTTCTTCAATCCTGCGATGGAAGAATTTGGAATTATCACATGCCAGTATGGCAAAACACTCTCACGCTTCTGCATTTTATGCTGCTTCACGTTTCTACAGACTTGTCATTCAGCCTTAGATATTTGCTCCAGGCTATACTCGAAATACAAGATGTTAACCCAGGAGCAGCTTATTAAAATTTTGCCTGTGGTTTGCCTCGGAACTAGAAGAATTTAAATCACTGTGGTTTCTAATGACTTAGGTTGTTAAAGCCTTCGATGCTGTTCTTGACACATGTATTTTACTGGTCTGTAGCCCGAAATAGTGTTTCATGGTTGGTATTTTGGTATCTAAATTTGCTTTTTCTCTCTGTGTCTAAGGACGTATGGAGTGTCTGTGTAAGATAACTTTGATGATTGTACTTCTGTTACTGGTTTTATTTTTAGGAAGCACGAAGTAAACAAAAGTTCTGAGTCCTTAATCAGGGAATAACAGCATCCATTTGCATGAATAGAGAGATCAGATAATTGGGTTTAAAAGTCTGTGCTTTGGAAAATAATGTGTTACTCACCAGTATTTGTATTACAACTGATGTTTGTGATCAGTTGGAGCAATTAAAAATTGGTACAGTATTGAAACCGGTTGCAGATGAGTTTTAAAATAAATCTGCCTTAAGGATGAAAACAGTGAACTTTTAAGGGACAGTGATTTTTGTCTGTTAAGCGGGACAAACATTTGTGTCAAACCATGGCAAGTATACACAGCCTACACAATTTAATCAAACATTTAAATCGCGTCCACCCACCACGGACGAGATTTAAATGTTTGATTAAATTATGTGGGGGGAGCGGGGCTGCGTGTCCTGTGGACTTCAGGCATCCGTTCGGGTGCCGTTCGGGTGCCGTTCGGGTGCCGTTCGGGTGCCGTTCGGGTGCCGTTCGGGTGCCGTTCGGGTGCCGTTCGGGTGCCGTTCGGGTGCCG